AGGAGCCATAGTTCATCATTTTCACAGTAAAAATGTTAGAAAAACAGAAGAAAAAAAATCTGCATTTCAAAGAGGACATATTTTTTTAATCCCATGTTTAATTGTTTATACTATGCTCTAGCTAGTTAGGCCACGCAAACGCCGGTGGAACTTGCCGATCACGGTCTTCAATTCACATTAGATAGATTGGTTGAGATAGCCATGATTGGATACGGCACGCAGGTGCTTCCAAGCAAAAACTGTTCCTAGATGACCATATGGAGTACTACTATTGTTGTTTTATTTTAATTGAAGAGACGTACATCAGTACTTCCCTCCTACTACTAGTAGTTTTCCTTTTCCTTTTCCTTAATGGTGTAATATTGTCAGAGCTAATTCACCTATTAAGCTTAGCTTTTCCTTGCCTCTATCTATGCATGATTGCACGTGAAAACAGTCCATGGATAGGTCCATCTGCCCATTGCATTTCTCACACAGTAGTGTGCAAGTGTAACCACACCATATCATATGCACCGGCCCTCGGAAAGCAAGAGCATGCAACACAACAACCAGCAGTTCATGCCTTTCTTAAGCATCCAAGAGTCCAAGGCAGACCTAATAATCACGGATCTAATCTAAGCACAAATTAGCCAAAGGCAGCAGGGCCGGGCCCCACCATGATAGTGGACGAATAATTAAAAAGCCGTAATGGGCACATCGCGCCACCACCGTCCAATTATCACCGCTCGTCATCGACAAATCGTTCCAACTTGCCTTGCCGCCCCCTGATGTCATCCGCGCCATCTTCAAATTCTTCACCGGGTGAATGAAAGACAGCAGAGTGGACGACGACGTCCATTGTCAAAGCACGCTTCTAACACTGGCCATCGGATTGGTGTCGATCTCCACGCATCGGACGCCCAGTAGCCCAGCAAAGTCCAGTCTTATGTTGGCTTATCGTTTAGGAAATTTATCCTTCTCTTTTGCTGGTTCGCCCTTGGCAAAGAATCGAAATTTATCTACCCCCGTCCAAAAAGAAAATGCTTATGCGCCGGAAAGTTTATGTTATTATGTTGTCTCACGGTCTCGGTAGGTAGCACGTGCACCATGCTCCATGCATGGTACTAACTTCCAAGTTCAAAAAATAGCACCACTACTTCAAAAATCATTTAGTTTGTTTATTTAGGACAACATGAAATCTATTATGTGTGCTATCTTAATTATGTTTTTATAGGCTTTAGTGCTTGTTCGACTAATCCCTTCTTTTACCTAATAATCCCCATTCCATAAAAGTTAAATGTACAAAATCATTTAGTTCGAAAACATTTACTTAAGCTATGCATGTATAATTATATTAAAAAGTATTTCCAAAATTGCATAAACTCTAATGACTTTAGTTCAGAATATAATTTTCCAAAAACTTCCGACCAAAGATAAGCATAAAACACAAAACAAGAGAATTATTTTTGACCCCGTGGAGTATCATCGGATATTTGTTATAAAAAAATCAAGAAACTATCTATTCTATGCGCCTCCACCAAATCACAAGTCGTAACACTAACACCCCCGTTAGTGTCGAACCACTAAAAAAGCAGGCACCGGACACAGGGGCCTATTAAAATTTAACTCCCAAACGGAGGTGCAAATCGCAATTTCAGGGAGCATACGTATGATGGATGGATGATGCATGTCATGGTGGTCATGCACCCATGCCATGCCGCCCCCGAAAATATCAAGGCCATGTCAGCAGCGCCAGGAGGCGATCTCCCACCCCAGCCCACAGCCCAGCCCGAGCCATTCCCGAATAAGTATCTCCTCTCCCCCGCACCCGCACCCGCACCCGCACCCACCCGCCGACGCGTGGGCCCGGACGTATTCTGCGTCCACCTGTCGGTGACTGTAGTGACAGCGTGGGCCTCCACTCGTGGCGCGCGGGTGAAATAACGCGGCCGCACCACCACCACCACCACCCCCCCCGCATCGCGAAAAAATCTTTTTCTCGCCTCTCCTCGCTCCCCGCCATTTCTCTCTCCTCCGCTGCGCCTCACCCGCCGCCCCGCCGCGAAATCTGCGCACGGGCGCCGCCGGCTGCCCGCGGAGAGCCTCGGATTAGAGCGCGCCCCGTCGAGGTAATGCTCCTGATTTTTCCCGGATTTTTTTCTGTGCGGGTTTCGTGTTTCCGGCGCTGTATTTAGTATTTTCTGCGTTTTTGTCCGTTGATTTACGGCTATCCGTTCGCGGCTACTGGTGCCAACTGGCCGGCTGGATTTGTAGATATTTTTTAGGAGCAGGTGGTTTTATCGGGGTTCTGGAGATAGATTTACTAGAGACGCGGAGGATTGGACGACGAAGAGTTTAAATTTTGGCGGCGAGGTTGAGCTGATTGTAGTTACCAATTTACCATATTTTGTTTTGTCTAGCCTCGCCGGGTCGATGCGTGGCGGATGCACTTGACTATGAATTTCTGTAGGTTTTTATTTCGGCTACTAGATCCTTAGCTCGTTGATTGCAAATAGTGGATTTGAGTTGGGCCTCGCTATTTACGGTGTCATACCACTTTGTAGAATTGTGTTCCTGAAAAAAATCTGTAGTTACGGTTGTGGAAAAGAGGGTGGGGATAATCATTTGGAATTGTATCTATAAAGGTTGTTAATCCTTTATTTAACATGTCCGCTTCGGCTATCCTGTTTGTTTGATTGTATTTTTTTGACGAGGAACTATAGCAGACAAACCTGAACTTGTACTAGAAATATGCAAGTTGAGCAGAAAGATTTTACCTTCAACTTCCGTACCAGCCATCCTATTCCTACGAATTGTTCATCAGTACAGGAAATTATGTGATAAGTTGAGTCCTCGAAATTGCTGAACCTTAATGGACAACTTTTTAGATGTAGGCACCTGTATGAACTTTCTAAAGGGTAAATAGCTGATTCCCAAATCACCTTCCCCTTGCGGGCAGTTTCGGGGAAAAAAAACATCACCTTGAATATTTTAAAATGCTCTTTTACCAAATTGATTGATTCTTCATTTATGTGATCCACAAATGTAGTTTTAAGTGTCCATTTTGGATTGTGGCGCTGAAATGTTAGATAAGTACTGCCTTAAAAATTACTGCCTATATTTGTTGTTAAGTGAAAATTACTGCCTTAAAAAGATGGGACAATGGTCTGTTGGACATCCAAAGTGATGGTCCTTTGCTGGCGGACACCTACTTTGGAGCATTTTGTCAGAAGACACTCTAGTTCGGTGAAATTAAGTCACAGGACACCGCGCACCGGTTGCAGCCGGTTGAGGAGAGAGAACAACGGTGAAATGACATTCTTGCCCCTGCCGTTTTCTTCTTCTTCTCTCCTTTTCTCTTTTTTTCTGCTTTCGTCTCTGTCTCACAACAAGGCCGTGCTAAATTTCCTCCGTCCCCGTCCCCACGCCATCGGCGATCGAGGCTACTTTTTCAACACACGGCCAACCCCCCCATCCACCACCTCCTCCTCTTGGCCTTGTGCTCGGCCTCCTCGACTCGGAGTTCGAGTTCGGCGACCCTGGCTAGAGCGCAGACGCCACCACCACCGGAAGGGAAGGGAGCTCGCGTCGGTCCGGGGGAGGCGCCGCTGCTGCCGTCGCCGGTTGAGGGCACGTGGTGGCGCCCCGCTAGGGAGGGACGGGAGGGGCTTCTTCCGGACCGCCCCGCCCCCGGATCTCGACCGAGCGACGACGGCGACGGCGGCGGCGCGCAGCGCCGACGGCGCACGACCTCACGCCCCGGCGCGTCCGCGTACCGCCGCCACGCGTCCATGTCCCCGCTCCGCAGCCCGCGCGCCATGCTCAAAAGCCGATCAATGCGCTTCGTCCCCGGCCGGATCTCGCCCTCGGCCCTCTCCGACGACGCGATTGGGGACGACGGGAGGCCGCCGCCGCGCGTCACCGCCGCCGCCGCCTCGGTCCTCGTCCTCCTCCACGTCGTCCGTCCTCCTCGTCGGCCACGCGTCGTCGTCGGCGCTGCTGGTCTCAGCGGTGGGTGTTCATCGTGGACATGCTCCTCCACAGCAGCAAGAGCGAACCAGGCAGCAGCCGCGTTAACTCGCGCGACGCCGGCCCCGGGGCGCCCGTTGTCGCCGGCGCTACCAAGCCCGAACGAGCCTGGCCATTCTCGCCGGCCTGGGTAGCCCCCATCGACGACGCCATTGCCAGCAATCTAGTATCTATCTGTGACAAGGACGCTACGGGCTCTGCTTTGCCTTTCCCTTCCCTGCTCTCTTTTTCCCCCTATCTATCTATCAATCAAGAAGAATCAATCGACATGGAAGGACGAAGGAATTGAAGACGCAGGAGGCAAGCAGGGGCGTCGGAGGCGCAGCCGCCCGTGACGGGGACAGAAACAGAAAAAAAGAGAAAGGGAGAGAGGAAGAAGAAAGTGGCAGGGGCAAGAATGTCATTTCACCGCTGTTCTCTCTCCTCAACCGGCTGCAACCGGTCCGCGGTGTCCTGTGGCCTAATTTCAGCGAACCAGAGTGTCTTCTGGCAAAATGCTCCAAAGTGGATATCCGCCAGCAAAAGACCATCACTTTGGATGTCCAACAGACAATTGTCCCTAAAAAGATAAGTGAAAAATTCTCATCCCCTATTTTGGTAATAATTTTGTTTGATAATGCATTTATTGTATCTTAAAAAATTTAAAAGATCTATGAGCAGATTGTACACATTTTTTGTTTTAGCTCCATCTCATTTCTTTTGTTAGTTCCTATATTTGTTGTTTAGTTGCTTCATTCTTAAATATTAATTCTCAATATTATTCATTTCCCCCTATTCTTCTTTTGTTATATATTGCTAATGCAGAGGTTTTCAAGCAACTATGTTTGGGATTGGTTGATATGATACTTGTTCACGTTGGGGGATGCAGACCCCCCCTCTGTGGGGGTTGATTGAAGAAGTTAACAGTACACTTAGGAGAACTTGTGTCTTACTGAAAGTTTCTTGGTTTTGAGGCAAGTAGCATTACTAAGAGTAGGAATTTGGTGGCATAGATGGATGAACTGACTGGCAACTTCAACACGGTGTTGATTACAGGTGCTCTTATTGGTTATTGGATCAACGTGTGTAATTTATTTCTTTCCCTTTGAGAGCCTTTCTAGTTTCTTGGGCAGGCTCTTGAGCTACCAAGCATGTCAGATTCAAATGTGAAGTGGATCGATGGGCTCCAGTTCTCATCATTGTACTGGCCTCCACCCCAGGATGTGGAGCAGAAGAAGGTATCTTTCTTGCTTCTTGAGTTTTGTTGTCTATGCTATAATTTTCACGATACTTGATGTAGATCGCAAACACCTTTGGTCTTTTCTTGTTTGAAGGCACAAATTTTGGCCTATGTCGAGTACTTTGGCCAGTTTACAGCTGACAGCGAGCAATTCCCTGAAGATATAGCTCAGGTACCTCATCTCCTACAACAGTTTAGTATTTGCTGTGGCAAAATGTATGCCAGATGTGTTTACCTTATTTACCCTTTTTTTTGCTTCTGTGCAGCTCATTCAAAGTTCCTATCCATCAAAAGAAAGTCGCTTGGTAGATGAAGTGTTGGGTAATACAAACTTATGGACAATTGCCAGGAAATCCAAGAAAGAATTTGACATATTGCTTTTACTTGCATTGTACAGCAACTTTTGTTCTTCATCATCCGGAGCATGGTCATGCAGTTGTACATCCAATTCTTTCACGCATCATAGATGGGACACTGTGCTATGATAGGCATGGTCCCCCATTCAGCTCCTTCATCTCTTTATTTAGCCATACTTCTGAGGTGAGGCCATTACTATCGTGGTTAGTTTCAGTTCTCTTTGTGTTGACTTGGAGTTTCACAATTCTATACTGTTTCTCATTAACAATTTTCACCGCAGCAAGAGTACTCAGAGCAGTGGGCCTTGGCCTGTGGAGAAATTCTTAGAGTCTTGACTCACTACAATAGGCCAATATTCAAAGTTGAGCGCCAACATAGTGAAGCTGAATGTAGCAGCACATCTGATCAGGCAACATCTAGTGATTCCACAGATAAGAAATCTAATAATTCTCCAGGAAATGAATCTGACCGGAAGCCATTGAGGCCACTAACCCCGTGGATCACTGACATATTGCTAGCTGCACCTTTGGGCATTCGAAGTGACTATTTTCGATGGTGAGTAATATTATTTGTATTTGACCTTTTTTTGTTTATTGAATTTCCTTAAAGCTCCAGATTATGTATTTTTATCAACAATGTGTATATCATGGACAATGTATACACGGAATTCAACAAACAGCTAGCCATGATAATACAGGAGTAAGGGAAGGAATTCATTATCCAGTCCATACTGCAACCATGTCTGCAATTTACTGATTTCAAGCATGCCGCTAGGAATAGTATGGGGACACATAGTTCAGAAATAACTGGTTACTGTGAAATGATGCAGATACACAAATGGAATTGTTTGTTCTCTGCTGTGAGATGCTTTTCAGCTTGTTGGAATATATTAATTTGCTGCTCAAAGTTAATTGTTTGCTTGAATACACTTCTACTTTGTAACAGAGGCTAAGTACTTCGTTTTTATTTCACATTTATCAGGTGTGGGGGTGTAATGGGAAAATATGCTGCTGGTGGAGAATTGAAGCCTCCAACTACTGGTCGGTAAAATCAACCAGCAAATAATTGTATATTTGCAGCATTACAGTAATATTAAATGTCTCATTTTCCTATATGTAGAGATATCATACTCCCTCTGTCCCTTATTAACTGTCGCCATGGGAAGCGTGCTGGTCAAACTTTCTTAAGTCTGACTACGTTTATAGAAAATATTAGCAACATTTGTATCTCCAAATAAGTTTATTATGAAAATAGATTCAATGATCTATCTAATCTCGAGCCTGGAGTTTGGAGGACTGTTTTCTAATATAATCCTTCATCCCTTAATAGCTACCTCTAGGTTTGTCCTAAGTCAAACTGTGTTAGTTTTGACCAAATTTATAGGAGAAAATATTAATATCTAGGACACCAAATTAGTATCATTAGACCAACTATGAAATGATTTTCACCATGCAGTTATTTGGCGTTCTATATTTTAATTATTTTTTCTATAAACTTGGTCTTACTTAGGACAAACCCAGAAGTATCTATATTTTGGGATGTGGGTAGTACTTGATAATGTTTGTTGTGTATGGAAAAAAATTGTAACATATCCCTGGGTGATTTAGCTTGCAGCCGAGGATCTGGGAAGCACCCACAGCTTATGCCTTCCACCCCCAGATGGGCTGTTGCCAACGGAGCTGGAGTTATATTAAGTGTCTGTGATGAGGAGGTAGCTCGTTATGAGACAGCAAATTTAACAGCAGCAGCTGTTCCTGCGCTTCTGCTACCTCCACCAACAACACCCTTGGACGAGCATTTGGTGGCTGGCCTGCCCCCTCTTGAACCATATGCTCGCTTGTTCCATAGGTAAGCTCCAGTTCACTGCTGTGCTTAATCCACTTCCAGATAGTATTTTTAATGGGTTATTTTCTTTTCAGATACTATGCAATTGCTACACCAAGTGCTACACAGAGGTTGCTTTTTGGTCTTCTCGAAGCACCACCATCATGGGCTCCAGATGCACTTGATGCAGCAGTACAGCTAGTTGAGCTACTTAGAGCAGCTGAAGATTATGCTTCTGGCATGCGGGTATGACATACTTCACAGATTATCCTCTGAGTGCAAAATTATCAAGTTGCCTATGATACAAAATTGTCCAACCACATCTTTTTGTGTAATTTTTCATCAACTGTGATACTTTGTTTTTTTGTAGCTTCCAAAGAATTGGATGCATCTGCATTTCTTGCGTGCAATTGGAACTGCAATGTCAATGAGAGCTGGTATTGCTGCTGATACAGCTGCTGCTTTGCTTTTCCGAATACTTTCCCAACCAACGCTGCTTTTTCCACCATTGAGACATGCCGAAGGAGTTGAAGTACATCATGAACCACTAGGTGGCTATGTATCATCATATAAGAAGCAGGTATGCAATAATTTTTCTCAAAATCAATTTAAAAGCTTTCTAAAGAAGCTATGGGTACGATGATAATTCAGACACTAACTACTCTCTAGTGAAAGCACAGCTAATCTTTTCTCTACACAACATTTTAGCCAGTTTTATCACTGTTAAACTAAGTTCAGGGCAGAAGACACCTTAATATGACTATTTAGGGTATTTGATCAGCCAAAACATTGCAGTGAATTGATATAATGTCTACACTTAATCTGTATGTGTATTGAATAAAGAATTTTCACATTTATACGTGCTGATATAGTATGGTACCTCAGTTCCTTAAAAAAAGGTGTTTTTTTTATGATCTACGATGTTCTTTGAGCCATATATTCTTTGCTTTGATGTTATAACAACCCAAAGTAGGAAATTAGCTTCCCCTTGATTTATTGCTGACTTCTGTTTGCATTGATCATTTTTCTGTCTGCACCTTTAACTACCGGAAGTTGGAAGTTCCTGCATCTGAGGCCACTATCGATGCCACTGCACAAGGCATTGCTTCTTTGTTGTGTGCTCATGGCCCTGATGTTGAGTGGAGAATATGTACCATCTGGGAAGCTGCCTATGGTTTGCTACCGCTAAGTTCATCAGCAGTTGATTTACCTGAAATTGTTGTAGCTGCCCCGCTTCAGCCACCTACACTGTCATGGAGCCTGTACTTACCATTATTAAAAGTATTCGAGTATCTACCTCGTGGAAGTCCATCTGAAGCATGCCTGATGAGGATATTTGTGGCAACAGTTGAAGCTATACTTAGGAGAGCTTTTCCTTCTGAAATATCAGAGCAGTCTAGAAAGCCAAGAAGTCAATCTAAGAACCTTGCTGTTGCTGAACTTCACACAATGATACATTCACTCTTTGTTGAATCCTGTGCCTCAATGGACCTTGCCTCCCGGTTGCTATTTGTGGTGTTAACTGTTTGTGTCAGTCATCAAGCTTTGCCAGGAGGCAGCAAAAGACCAACTGGTAGTGATAACCATTCCCACGAGGAAGCCACTGAGCATTCAAGATTAACAAATGGAAGAAGCAGATGTAAGAAGAGACAAGGCCCTGTTGCTACGTTTGATTCATATGTTCTAGCTGCAGTTGTTGCCTTATCTTGCGAGCTCGACCTGTTCCCTTGCATTTCTAAGAACGGATCGCATTCAAATTTAAAGGATTCCATGAAGATTAACAATGGGATCAATAATGAGCCACGCAGTAGCATCAGCTCAGCAATTCTTCATACTCGCAGAATTCTTGGCATCTTGGAAGCCCTTTTCTCCCTGAAGCCATCATCAGTTGGTACCTCATGGAGCTATAGCTCAAATGAAATAGTTGCAGCAGCTATGGTTGCCGCTCACGTTTCTGAGTTATTTCGTCGGTCTAGGCCGTGCCTTACTTCACTCTCTGCAATGATGAGATGCAAGCGGGATCCTGAGATTTCTACCAGGGCATCATCCCTCTACCATTTGATTGACTTGCATGGTAAAACAGTGTCCTCCATTGTGAACAAAGCTGAGCCTCTTGAAGCTCACCTGACCCTTACACCAGTAAAGAAGGATAATCAACATCACTGTGAGGAAAACAATACCAGCTCATCGGATAGTGTCAAGCTGGAAAACAAGAAAAATGGTTTCTCAAGACCACTCTTGAAATGTGCAGAAGAGGTTCTACTGAATGGCGATGTTGCAAGTACATCTAGGAAATCCATTGCAAGCTTACAGGTGGAAGCATCTGATTTGGCAAACTTCCTTACCATGGATCGGAATGGGGGGTACCGAGGTTCACAAACTCTCCTAAGATCTGTATTATCAGAGAAACAAGAGCTGTGCTTCTCTGTTGTCTCATTGCTCTGGCAGAAGCTCATAGCTTCTCCCGAAATGCAGATGTCTGCAGAAAGTACATCAGCTCACCAAGGATGGAGGAAGGTATATTTATGTGTTCTTATAAGCCTGAGTGGTGGTATGAAGTCATCAATATTGTTGTTAACATTCTTATGGCTAAATGACAATCCTTGTTTCTCATGTGTAGGTTGTGGATGCACTTTGTGATGTTGTTTCAGCATCACCAACCAAGGCCTCAACTGCTATCGTTCTCCAGGTCACGATATTGCTATATTCGCATGTTTGGTCAAAACTAATTTTGGTTTAAATTTTGTTTGATTTACTTCAAACAAATTCATTTTCCTTTTCTGATTAATTTATTTCAAAACAGACTTTTTTTTTTGTTTCTGACAAATCTATTTCAAAACACATTTTAACTACAATGCCTACGTGAATACGCACCCGTTTCCTAGTCATCTTTCTTGACGCTTATTTTTTTCTCAGGCCGAGAAGGACTTGCAGCCTTGGATTGCTAGAGACGACGAACAAGGTCAGAAGATGTGGAGAGTCAACCAACGTATAGTGAAGCTTATAGCTGAGCTTATGAGGAACCATGACAGCCCTGAAGCTTTGGTGATACTTGCTAGTGCCTCTGACCTTCTACTTCGTGCTACTGATGGAATGCTTGTTGATGGTGAAGCTTGTACTTTGCCACAACTTGAGGTGACATTTCTTTCATTCATCAGATTTCATAACAGGAGAATACCTTTAGCAAAAATCGTCTGTTCTGTTCCATTATGTTCTGCTGTCATTAAACATGACCAACTTATCATTTCCATGCACTACAAACTCGCATGATATATATGCCTGCTGACTGTCGTTTTGTCTGGTGGATACGTGCAGCTTCTCGAAGTAACTGCTCGAGCAGTCCATCTTATTATTGAATGGGGAGATTCAGGTTTATCAGTTGCTGATGGCCTTTGTAATCTGCTAAAGGCATGCCCTCTTTATCTACTCTCGTTCTCATTCATTAAAATGCCAACCATGCATCCTTCATAACTCAGCAGGTTAACTGAATATGATTTGCAGTGCCGTCTATCAACCACCATCCGCTGCCTTTCTCACCCAAGTGCACACGTGCGCGCGCTCAGCATGTCTGTCCTCCGTGACATCCTGAACAACGGATCGATGAACCCCTACAAGATCATCCAAGGGGAACAACAGAGGAATGGCATCCAGAACCCGTCCTACCGGTGCCTGGCCACAGACATCATCAACTGGCAAGCGGACGTTGAAAGGTGCATAGAATGGGAAGCCCACAGCCGCCGTGCCACCAGGCTGACGCTCGCCTTCCTCAGTGCGGCGGCAAAGGAGCTCGGCTGCCCTCTCCCGTGCTGACAAGGCCAGTCCCGGATCTGACATCGGCGGCCACTTGACGGCCAGTGCTGGCAGCTGCTGCATGCAGGGCCGGCGAGTAGGACACTAATCTCTCGATCAAGGACGACTCGCTGGTTTGTTCTCACAATATGTGATTAAACTGATATTAGATGGTGTTTCCAAAGCATATACGTGGCTTGCTTCCATGATGCGATTTTATTTCAACCTGACGTCAGATGTTGTACAAGCATATTTAACAGCCTGAGTTGTACGTAACCTGTATGCTTGTAACTTTGTTAAATATGGTTACTGAAGAAGCAGAACGTACCTTTTTCTATTTATATACTTGCTATATATATGAACGGTAAATATGAACGACAGAACGAGGACACGCCTTATAGACATATACGTTCTGATTGAATCAGCAAGTCACTGGTTGTGGGCAGTTCCGAATGGAAAGCTGAATGCTGTGTGTAAGTTGCTGACCTTCCGCAGTTAGAAGACGGATCATCCCTTAAATTCCCGCAAAACCACAGTTAAGAGGAGTTGGAGATTGTGGGCGTTCATACGTTCGTTGTGTAAAGATTCAGATCACATGAACGTCTTTGGACAATGCTAAATGATGTCTTGTACGCATTTGTACTAGTGACAAATGATATGTCTGATCGCGGGGTTTAATCTTTGCGGTGCGATTGGTACTGCATGAGAAGGGGCATGAGAATTAATCATGGAAGTTGATGGAGGGAATTATATGACAAGTCATGATAAATGGTGATGATGCACCCATCTTTCATTAAAAACACAATTCCTATCCAATTACCACCTCCCCCTGGAGAATTGATTAGTAGAAGTTTGGTTTCTGAACTCTCGTTCCCTTTCCCATCAAAATTCCCACTCCCACGAATAAGTAGAAGATTTCTAAACTCTCAATCCCTTCCCTCCTTTCAATTACTTCCAACCTCACCTGTTCTTATAATTAGAAATGCCATCTTCGTGTATCACAAAACTACCTAGCACTGTCAAAGTTCTGTTAGATAATTCAGAAACGTCTAACTTGACAATCTACAGTGATATTAGAATCATGCAAAGAACTTTGCAACCATGAGTCTGCTGTGTTCACAGTTCTCGAGAACGCCCATTCCAGATTCTAGTTCTGGGTTAGATATTCATAAAAAAATATGTTTGAACTTCTACACTTCAATGCCACTTTGAAAACAAATCTTACAAGACTTCCTGGTCAAATTATGGAGTAGGAAAAAAAAAGATGAAACACTGCAACTGCGAATGCATCTTTTACAAAGAATGACAGAATGCAGCAAGCAAATTCCTTAAGAAGAAACCACCACCACAAAGTGCTCATAAACAGAGCATAGCTTTGCACTTGCCACACAAGGAAAAGACTGGTGCTGAAAGCGGCAGTAAAACCAACCATTATACTGCTTCCAAGTTCCAACCTTCGCAATCAACATATTTGTCTCCCAAGAGGGCTTCTGTGTGTCATGCACATTCTGTTAGTAAGGGTTGATAATGTCTACAAATCAATATCGCTGGAGCTCTGCACGAGCCACATGGAGACATAGCTGGTGGCAAACACATCATCTCTAACCGATGGGCTTCTCGTTCTTGGTCAACAAATATTGAGATTTTTTTAGGTTTCAGCCAGTGAAGATCACATCTTGATGCCTTGAACAAACCAAGATAATTGCTTCCAATTTTCATATGGTTCTCAAGTTCAAGGACCATCACAATGCATATCCATGGAGGGCTCAGTCAAATTGCAATTCACAGAGTCCTGATTTTGTGGCGACCGGTTGTTCCGAGGCCCATTTCCGTTGGGACATGAGTTGATGGGACCATACCCTGACGACTGAATCAAATGATTTGAGTGGAAATTTTGCCGTAAAGGGTCAGGAAGAGAATTTGGGACGCCAGAATTGCTTGTCTGGTCTGTTTCATCCATCCGGAAGTCAAGCGCAGCAGCTATGTTCCCAAACGAGAAGGGGTTGCATTGAACATTTGCAGAAGGGGTGCTATGTGTTTGCTGTTGGCTTGGATGCTGCGGAGATGCTACAGGATCCTCTCGGCAGTGCTCAATCTCATTCTGCATACAGAAGAGAAAGCATCAAGGACTTGGGACATATGGATACTGCTGAAGCAGTAGCAGGAACTACACTAAAAAGGCAACAATTTTGTCTCCAAATGAGGTCTCAAGGCCAAGATGGTTTCAATGGAAACAGGCAACAGCTTTAACATTTCACTTGACAAATTATTGCTTTCTGGTGTATGTACTGATATATGAGTCTCAATTAGACAGCATTGAGCTTACGTGTAGCGTAGCTATCATTTTACAACAGTTTCATAGTTTAGTCTCAGTAGCACTTTGAAGCTTAACAAGGCACTAGCTATCATTTTACAACAGTTTCATAGTTTACTCTCAGTAGCACTTTAGAGATTAACAAGGCACAATAAAATCCAAGTCATATTGTAGAAGATTGTGTTAGAATCACGTCTGCAGACAGATTTATTGTAACATTATGTTCTCTCTTACTAGATTCACAGATTACATTCGTAAACAGTACCTCTTATTATGCAATGCACATATTTCAGTTCTAGCAAGTTCAACTATTGAATTCCTATCATCAGGTCAAAAGCCTAAAGTGAAAAGCTGTGACAACATACAAATCTCTCAACACTTAATACTAGATTGGTCTGTGGTCCTTGCATATGACATATGGCATCAACTTAGTTTATCGATAAGGTTTTATAAGTGTTAGAAAAATTGGCGGAGACAAGATGTTCACATAACCTGCAAGTATGCAAGCACAGCAGCAACAGGCACCTCTGAAGCTTCTTCAAGCTGACTGGACAGCCATTGATGTACATTTTCCTGTCAAAGCTCCATGAAGAGGATTGATTAGTCAACGACACGTTCAACAGAAGTACTATTAGACAAATCCCAACAATTATGCTACTTTGTATCAATTTAAGTTTCAGAATTCAGACAGAGGCATTTGCAGAACATCTACAAGGCCCCAGCCCCTTTATTGTTCAAGGACAACCAGCCCACAAGTCTTGATTAGCTTGTGTTCTTCACTCCTAACCCATTTCAAAACTCAAAAACAAAAAATGTACATCAATTTATCACGTTTTACCCTACTCTGCACACACCACCCAAAGATTGACACCTACTTTGGCGCCAGATTGCCTCTTTATTGTGCAGAGATCGCTGGAGAAATTGTTGAGAGCAATCTATTGATATGCAATTCGTAACTCAACATCTCCAAAACTATTGCGCTATAACCCCGTTTCATTTCGGACTAACCAGCTACAGCATGTAAACTTGACAAACAGGTGGCACGTTCCGCCCAAATTCTACTATCCCATACTGAATTCTCCGCAAGAATTCAGAAAGAGCAACAAATTCCCCCCGTCCTATAACACCATCAACCCCGGAAAAACCGAAGCAAGATCTCATCTCCCTCTAGTCCTCTACCCTCCGCGTAATCAGACACCAGCCCGACCGCCAAGAACAACTCGCGATCCCAGCTTCCGCACGACGCGGGCTGCCGATCGGAGGGGAAACGGGAAACGAACAGTCAGAGGGAAGGGAACGCACCATGGCCCGGCGCTCGCCCGCGACGAACGACGCCTTCTGGTGCGCAACGGCATGCGCGTACACCTGGGACAGCGCGTTCGCGGCGCCCCGGAACGCCAGGTGCACCTCCTCCTCCGCCTCCTCCTCCTCCGGCCTCCGCTTCTTTGCCGCGTGCGCCGCCATCTGACAAGGCCCTCCCCCTCCCCCGCTGAGCCCGGGAGAAGCCGTCGGCAGCGGCGAGTCGGCGACGGCGAGGAGGCGGTGGAGCAATCGCGTGGCGAAAGGTGTCGCGAGTGGCGCTGGTCTACGCCAGCTCCGTGGACCGGGTGCTGGCATTTTAACCGCCCGTCCACGTGGGCACGGCCACGCGCCACTGGCTCCCAAATCTGGGCCGGCCCAATAGGCCACTGGTTTCGTTTGATGGGCCCTTACACAGACCTACTCCCTCCGTAGAGTGTCCCGGCCCATCACGTGTCGACGCGTACACGTTTCTATCTACGTATATACAATCCGAATACATACATACACCAAGAGAAAATTTGGCGCTGATAAGACGAGTGGAGGCGGCAAGCGAGGCCACCAGTGTTCACTTCAAAATCTCTGAAAATTTCCACGTCTCCCTCCCTCCCTCTCTCGCGTCCTCCCCATTCCATCCGCGCGCCCGCGCCGGCGGCCTCGCTGAATCTGCCAGCGCGCTCCCTCCGGCGGTAACGGACTAACGAGTCCTGCGGCGGCGCTCCTCTCCGGTTCCCCTCCGCCCTCTGCGTCTTGCTCTGTGGCGGCCGAGGCCGACGCTCCGTCGGTGTCTCGTCGGGCGGAGCGGGCGGAGCGGGCGGAGCTAGGGTTTCGCTGCTTCAGCCTCAGGATCGGCGAGATCTAGGGTTTCAACCTCTGGTATGCCTCCTCTGTCCCCCTCGAATTCTAGGGTGCCGGGTTGATGCGGGTTGGGACTTGATTCGTGCGGTTTCGGGGTTCTGAACCGCTGGATGTTGAGTAGTACTCAGGGATCAGTATACCTAGGTTTATGATTCGGCTCACGTATTTGTGCCCTACTGCTTTGGATTGGGGAAGGAACCAAAGGTTTCGCGTTCACGACCCCTTCCTTTGTTTCTCTGGATCCAGGAATGAAATATTTTGTTAGTGTAGAAGTGAAATCGCTGGAAAATAAACTCTTGGAGATTGTATTCCGTTGATATCACAGTGCATGGAAGAGCTCGATTGTTTGAAATCATAACTTCTGATCAATTGGGTGGCTTTGTGCAAGAAAATTCAGAAGCTGTTTTCAACATTGATCAGGAAATCTTAGTACTGTAGGAAACATTCGATTGATAATATCACAGTGCATTGAGGAGCTAGAATATTGGAAATCATAATTTCTAATCAACTGCTTTGTTTTGTACAATAAAAAAACATAAATTGTGTTAAACAGTGGTACAGAATTTTAGTACTGTAGGAGTGGACATTTTATTTCATGGACTTGTTGTTTATGAATTATGCTTAGCAGTGCTTTTCATAACATGGGATAGAAATCAGTTTCAGTTGTTTGGATTTTAGTATGGTCAGTGTTGTGTTAGTTGTCTTTTTTTCTGGTTTGAGATTGTCAGCCAGTGCATATTCTGGCCTCTTAGTGAAAAGGCTCCTCTCCTGAGTCATGGCCATGAAGCCAAACCCTTGAAATGAAAGAAAATATAAACTTCTAAAAACAGTGACTACATTGAGTAAATGATTTTGCAACTTGCTATCTACAGGAGAAGTGTTTCGAATTTTGAAGAGGGGAGATTGTACTGGAAGCTGCTGCTAATATTGCAAAACAATGAAAGCTCATCATCAGCAAAGTAATGCATCTGGCACAGGAGCAAATACCAAATCTGGTTGTGATAAGATGCAAAGCCTGAAAGCTAGTGCACATATCAACAAATCATCAGGTGATGTGTTGGCACTATCAGTTTTCAGTCTTCTTTGGCACGTCCAATTATCTACTGAAATCTTAATCTAACACAGACCAAAGCCAAAGTATGAAATAAGTGCATGGTAGATGCAACTGAATTGAAACAATTGCACAAACTGTTAAGTTTGTAGAAATATGTCATAATGACATCATTGATTTTCTAAACTTATCAAGAGCATCATTTGCAGGCAATATGGCTGCAAAGCGCAGAAAGGGAGCCGATTTCTCTCCTTTTGAATCACATACCGAAAGCAAGATAGCATCAAAGACTGGCGGTCTTATGGAAGCACCATCTAGGGATGCTAAGATGTTATCTGCTCGGCCACCTAATCACTCTGGAAAGATCAAACTTCAACTTTTCCCAATAGATGAGACCATTCAAGAGATTATGCAGCAAGTGAGTACCTCTGCACCTCAAATTTTTTTTGGTAGAGCTTCATATAAGCACCATGCCACCATATACAGTCTTGTTTGAAGGTTCTCTCTCTTACATTTGCATTGCTTATTACCATTCAATCTGACAGGAAAAACACAACCCTTACCTTGAATTGACTTTGGCTCCTCGAAAGAAGATGTCCTCGATTGTACAGCATCTGAATACAAAATGGGGCAGTTCTCAGTGTGCAAAAGGCGAGCTCATGCTCTTCCCTAATGATACTAGACTGGACACTGTAGGTGGCAGTGCAAAATGGACTCTTGAGGATTCTTGCACAGCCGCTGATGTGCATGTTACAGTTGGCTCCCCTTCAACATTTCGTTTAAGGTTCAATTTGTTTTCTATAAATAGTTATTTTTGTTTGGAGCAAAATGCATTGGCAGTTCATGAACTTGTCCTACGATGTATTTAGGTCCCTATATTCTTAAAATGCACATGTAGGTCCCCGCTTGTTAAGTGTGTCACTTGTCCAAATCACCCTAATCTGCAAGTAATTACATATGTCACACATAAGCGTGGAGCTCAAGATCAGATGCCGCATGCTCTATTATGTGCTCCTGGCTGCCACCGCTATCATGTATACTACAATTTAGGTGCTGTATTTGTGTGACACACATGCAAGCTTTTTCTGATTTGGGTGATTTGGATCTTGAATGACATACTTAACAAGTTTAGAGCCCCAGATGTGCACTTTTAGGAATTTACAGGGATCTAGATGACATTGTGAGACAAGTTTAAGGAATGCTGGTGTATTTCATTTCTGTGTCTGTATCCATGCACATCAATGTGAAAGTTGATGTTTATATATTTCTTATTTATTATGAAGGTATGGTTGGTTTGGGCCTGAATTGAAGCAACAAAGTAGTGAACCATCCTTGGCATCAGCGCACTCTACAGACAAGACTATTGGCAGCAAGCCACCTTATCTTGTTTTCAATGAACAGAAACATATGGCTGGTTCGGGTGAATTTCCTAATAATTTTGTGACACCCTCTGTTGTGAATAATACAAATACATCACAAGTGGCGGTGAGTATCAAATACTATCGTTTGTTGAAAAAATACCATTATATGTACTTCGATGCTGATACTCTTTATGATTCCAAAATAGGATAATCCAAGCAAGGTGGCACCACTTTCATGGCTTGACTCCATATCTAACATTAGTTTTGGAGCACTGTTATCTGAAGCTGCACCTTCTCAAGGCAGCAAGCAACCGCCTTCACAAAATAACACATGTCTCCAGCAGATCCCCGTCACATGTGATTCATTTGATGCTGCTATTGCTTCGCTGATTGCGCGTCAGCAACCAAGTAACCAGCCAAAGGTGTTAAATCCATCCCTTTGGGAAGCTGAAGAAACTTGCCATGCATTTCCCTTCCAGAATCAAACTTCACAAGCATCAAGTTCAGTTCCTGGCAACAGCATTGCTACTATGTCCTCATCTGTCTTGTGTGCAATTCCAGAAACTGGCACAGATGATCAGGTACACCTGCTCTTGTAATATTTTGTCTCATCACAAACCTTTCTTGTTGCTTACGAGCTTTTTGTTTCTGCAGCAATGCGCTACTGATGGTAGGAAGGAGGAACTAAACGGTCAAACATCAGTACTGGGCGATGATATTAATGCAAAGCCAGATATCTCAATGGTACCGATTATGACCCTAACAACATTGATATGTTTTAGGATGCTTTGGCTTCTTTGGTTTTCTGATTACTGATGTAATTCTTATGTATATTGTGATATTTCTTTCAGCATGGGGACCCAGAGCCTGGAGCATCTTGCCCCAGACTCTTGAGTGGAACCGACAGTATAGGACTAAGCTCTTTGCTCACCGATAGCCTGGATGCATTCCAGAAATTCTCTGTTTTCTGAAGCTCATACGCCCATAAAGAAAAACTACGGGTTTATACAATATAGTCATATGGACTAAGTGAAGGTATATATTAACCAGGCTTCTGCTTCATGAACAGAGCTAATAATTTTGGGCTTCCTGAAGCTACTTCTGTAAATAAATCCCCCATGTGAACTTTTTTCTTATTTCTCGTTCACCACTTGGAAGAAATATGTATTCTGGAATTGAAATTTCCTTGACTTTATCTTAAGATAATAAGTACCTGACCCTATAGGGAGCATGGAGGTAGTCTCTCAACTGAAGGCTCTACCAACCGAGCTGTCACATAGTTATATTTTCCATTGCATCTTGCTGTTTGTTAAGCACACATTTGTTCTTAGGAACATTGATCTTCTGAGCTATTATAGGGCAATAACAATTAACAAGTGGTAATATGGCTGTTTTGCTGTAATGTGAGTTGTTGGGCGTTGCGTCCTTTTTTTTAGTCAAAAGGAGCAACCAAAACACGCTCAAACTTGAGCCCACCATTTTAGCAGCTCGACCTGTTGGATAAATCTATTCTCGCGTGCTGTTCCTCAGTTGTGCAGAGGTCGCTGTCCTGACCACATTAAAATTTCTACTTGCTGTCGATGTCGCAATTATTCCTTGTTGGATACCTGTATGATTGTATCGTTGGGAGGTGCCCCTTTTAAAAGGGAAAAAAATCATTGAAACAGTACTGAAAGATCACCACAACCGATGCGTCAAAATCATCGCATTGTATTGCTAGGTCTTGTGAGCGTCAAACCTGAATACTTCAAACTGTTAAAGAAAATATTTGGATTGCATTGTATTGCTGGATCTTGTGAGTACAGCCGAGCTGCATATTCGTCTTAGACGAAATTCAGGTTTATGCCTAGCCTACAACAGCAGGCCCTTATGGTCTGACCTGTTCTGGTCTGATTTATTGGGGACAATTCTTGGGACACAAACGTCTGAACAGCGCCCAGCCCACCTCCCTCTTGTGAAATGGAAGCAAAGGCATGACTCGGCTCGAGCGATCTGGAGTCAAACAAGTTTGAAAGAATTTGGTTGCAACTTGCCACGAATCTTGCCTGCTTCGTTTGACCATCAGATTCTCGGATCCTTTCCCTCATTGAATACGCCCACGGGCCACGTACAAACGTGCCTGGAGATCTGCATGCGACGCAGCAACACATGCTTGGAGATGTCGCTAGTCAAATTTGGGGCTCTGAAGTCTGAACTGAACACCAGCCGCTTCTCCTTTTTTCTGTTCGTTTCAATCTATTTTTCTTCAGTTCTGATGCCGCTGCTGCAACGCCCATCCCGGATGCCATGCATGAGCACGATCCGGTTCCGGCCATCGCAAACTGACTGAAACAAACCATGACACAACTGGTAGTTTTGCAACTTTTTTTAAATAAAAAAGCAATGGCAAGCATGTTTCTAGTTCATCAAACTCTCCTAGAAAGAGAGAGATTTTATTAGGGTGACAGGACCATGTAACTGCCGTCTCCCTTCCTCTCAACTGATTCGTTGTCAGGTCATTCATAAGTATGGGTCCAGCTCGTTTCGTTTTCATACAAAAGTATCAAGGCCTTGTTTAGATTGAAAAAAATTTCAACCCGAGACAGTATGGGTCCTAAGATCAAAAGATTCATCTCGTTTCCAACTAAACGTTTTTTTTTACCTACATTTAATGCTCCATATAAACGGCTAAAAATTGATGTGATGGAGAGAGAGAGGAAAAACTTAGAATTTTGAGGGTATCTAAACAAGGCCCAACAAGCATGTAGCCGATGCAGCAGTCCGTCACTGAATATCTGTTTTGTGAAACAGCAACGGCGATTATATGTATAATAACAGGGGCACACCGATTATTAGGCTTGGTTTATTTCTAAAAATTTTCATCCCAAACTATCACATCGAATTTTATGGCACATGGGTACACCGATTATTGTTTTAAGACTAATTAGTCCATGATTATTAGCCATAAGTGCTCATCCTCCAAATGCTTAATAAATTGCCTCAGCATGATTAAGCTGAATTAGTTTTTTTATTAAGTATCCAAAAACCCTTCCGCTATCCGAAACATCCGATGTGACATACAAAAATTTTCATTTCGTGAAATAAACACCGCCTTAGTTTCATCCTCCAAATAATAAGCATGATTGGCTAAGCTGGACCTGCCAGTGCCAAACGGCAGGCCTAACTGAAGGTCTTTATGCTGCACCAGTTGGCAAGAGAAGGACTAGCTAGCTTGGTGTACTATATAGACTGCCAAATAATAGAAATGATGGCTAAATAAAGATGCGTAGAGCAGAGAAACCCATATAAAAACGAGCATGTGTGTTCAAGGAAATGAGCAAAAGCACATTCGATCATTCAGTAGAATTGGATTTGGTGGTAGCTAGCTAGCTAGAGCTGGCAATCATGAACTGAGCAGTCTCTTGCATTGGTTCCAAAGTGATCCAGTACTCAATGGGTAATGATGTGCACTGAGAGAGCACGCATCAAGACAAACCGCCAATCTAGACTGAGCAAGCGCCAAAATGTGCTTTGTCCTTATCTTACGGGGAAAAAGTTTGGTGGAGTGCTGACAAAGTAACAGGTTAGAGGTATCAGCGGCGGATTCAAACGGAGGGGCGCCTTGAGCCCCATATCCATACCAGAGCTCTGAAACGTCTATGCAGCTTACATGGGTAAAGTTTTATTGTATAGGTGAGGCTGAGATTTAAGATCGAGCAGCAGTCGGAAGTTATGTTGTTATCACACTTTTATTTAGACCCCCTAAATTTTTTGGATCCACCGCTGGTAGGTAGTAATCCGTAACATGGAGCTAACTAATTTCTTGCCTGCAGACTCTAACAAAGTCGCATCATATCTATGTTTTGTGACTACACAGACGGTAAGTGGACATTGTGCCAAATTACTCATGTTTGATCGAGGCGGAACCTGCATGTGGCCGAGAAGCTGTGCCGCGGGGGCTATGCGCGTTCGAGGCGGAACAACGAGGAGGGCGTCGAGCTCGTGCTTTGCATCCTTGACGCCACCGATGGCAAGTCGTTCGCCGCCCGCGTGGCGGCGTAGTTCGCGGGCTTCTTCAGCAGCTACGACAGCCAGCCTCGGCAAGCTGGTTTACCAGCCTTTCACACCTGCGTCACCGGAATGCGATGCTCCACCTGTACCCCGCCGATCGCCATGCCTTCGGTCAGCACGTCCGACCTCTGCCTGTCTGATGCAATGCAAATGTGGCTGCTGGGTCATCAGCGTGCCCTGGCCCAGCTGTCCGTACAGCACTGAGTCCGATGATGTTGTCTTCTCCTCGGAGTATCAGTTGTTATGTGACATTTATTATGTGACAAATATTTAGTTATGCCATATATAAGACGAGAATTTTAATAAATCTGTTTTTTTTTTTGTTTTATACCCATGCAAAATGTAGTTTTTTTAGACTGAAGAAATACTATTTGGATTTGCATGGTAAATTATTAGCCAGCTAATTTTTAGCTCTAGTCCATTCAAACATAGGGTTAATTTTTTAGCCAAGAGTACAACTAGTTGTTAGTCAACTAACTAACAAGCTAACTCCAGCTAGTTTGGATTAATTTTTAGCCTTAGCTAGTAACTAGTCCTAACTGATCTAATGGCCTGTTTGGATCCATCCCAACTAAATTTTAGCTAGCTAATTGCTATAGCTAAAATTTAGGTCTTGTTTGGATCATAAAACTAACAACTAGTTGACTAATTTTTAGTTCATAAGTATCAAATGAGCAGATTAATTCTTAGTCCATTAGTCATGGACTAGTTGTTAGTCCTAGTCCATCCAAACAGTCCAACCAATTACTCCCTCCATTTCAAATTATAAGTCATTCCAAAAATATTGGAGAGTCAAAACATCTCAAGTTTGATCAAATTTATATAATAAGATAATAATATTAATGATGGCAACTAAGTATCCATAGATTCTTCATCAATTATTTTTTCATAGTATTCCTATTTGATGTCACAAATCTTTATAATTATCTATAATTTTGGTCAAATATAAGATGTTTTGACACTCTAAGATTCTTGGAATGACTTATAATTTGAAATGGAGGAAGTAATGATGAGTTAGCTAAACTTTAGCTAGGGGTGTTTGGATCCTCTAGCTAATTGAAAACCTTGACCATGCTACCTCTAATTATTTTCATTGCTTAGCTAACTAAACTTTAGCTGGGGTGTTTGAATCCTCTAGCTAAACTTTAGTTAGAGGTAGTTTGGTCATTGAGGCATTTTAGTTGAGTTTAGTTGTAGGCTATTTGGATTCACTATAACTAAATTTAGTCAGCTAAAGTTTACTTTGTGGATATAGGCCCTAATCACTGGTAATGCGAGTTGTTTTGCCAGAATCACATCTTAGTCACTAAGTATATATAAGCAAGAAAACATCACATAGAAAACACATTGATTAACCAGTTGTAGGGAGTGCATATCTGCAATGTGCTATTACTATTTATTCCAATAAAAAACAATCAAATACTTTATTACATTGAGAGAAAAAGATACTCGTACTAACTTGCTAGCTGTAGCACGAAGTATGTAGGAAAACCTTTGTGTCGTCCAAGCAAATGCATCCATTCCATTTCCATGGAAACAAACGTGGCATAGGTTGTGATTCCTATTTCGAGCCAAAATGGATGTATCAAAATTTGTCATTAGCCAACCATGAAGAACCCATTCAACGCATGATTTGAGAGCCCTAAAAAATTGATTTTGATCCCAAATCCCCAAAACCACCCACCGCCCACACCAGTCTCCCTCTCCCATATATACACGCACGGCGCGGCCCCTCCGGCACTCCCGCCTCCCCTTCGCAGTCCCGCCGCAGCCATCTCTCCTCGCCCCTCAGTCTCGCAGGCCGCAGCCGCGCTCATCGTCGCCATGGACGGCGGCGGCTACAGCCCGCGGTTCCAGCGCCAGGCCTCCTGCTCCTGCGCCCCCTCCATCTCGCGGCGGGGGTTCGTCCGCGCGGGCTTCGACCTCGACGGCGACGACGACTACTACGACGACGACGTCGCCTTCCACTCCTCGTCATCCTCCTCCTCCTCCAAGGTCGGCGGTCCGGGGGCGCCCTACTACTCCGCGGGGACCCCGCGGCCGTCCGCGCGCGCGAGGCTGAGGGCGCTGTGGCGCCGCATCATGCGGGAGAAGAAGCGGATCCTGCTCTGCTCCACCGGCTGCGTGCCGGCGCACGCGCCGGCGCCGCACCCTACGACGCCTACAGCTACGCGCAGAACTTCGACGACGGCGAGGCGTGGGTGGAGCCCGACAACCTCTCGCGATCCTTCTCCGCGCGCTTCGTCGTCCCCTCCAGGGTGTTCCAGAGGGTCGCCGTGTAGCGACCGCCGGCCCCCGGCGGCAAGATTTTTTTTTTAATCTTTTCCCCCAATTTTGGTGCCGCGAATTGTGAAAACAGAAGCATCCATCCCCATCTGTACATGCATTCATATTTTTCGGATCACTGATGAATATCTCCAACAAATCTTCATTGGTTTTGGTCAAACTCTGTACTTTGCCAGCAATCAAATACCACCACACATGACAAACACATTTACGCCCACAGCAAAATCACAGAAACATGTGAATACTACGTTCCACAGCCCCCGGATTTGATTTGTTGCTAACTAATGGTGTGATGAATAATTAGTTTTCTGAACATTATACCTTGACTTGATGAAAAGATTGGTTTGTTTTGAATGTTACCGGAAAAAATGCTTGTCAGTTTTAGGAATATTTTGGGATAAGATAAGATCTAAAAGACTACAAATTGATAGTGTCTAATGTATTATATAATTGTCTAATCCAATTGTGCACAATGGAATCGCTTGGTCAAACATGTTTCTTGGACATTAGGCAAGTGCGTCGCTGCATGTGAAGTTGATCGGAGTCTGTACACACCGTTTTTTCAATGCACCAAACGCTTGCAAATTTGACCAAACTAAGAAACTGATTGATTCATAAAAGTATGCTGCCTTAATCTGACCATTTTCAGGAAAAATCCACACGCCTACCTTCAATCAGAGTGATGCGAGTAGCTCGCTTTTTTCGCAGTGTAGACTGGAAAAAATGCAATAGGGACAGGAAATGTTTTCATCCTAAATCCTAATCTAACCTCTTGAAAATTTCCATGTGTATGTGTCGTGCCAGGCTGATGTGATGTGAGGTTAGCGTCACACCATTGTTGCTGCTTAACCAATTGTCCCTCTCTCTTTGAAAGCGAGAGGTCAACAAACTATATTCTAGAAGAAGCAATCTTGGTGTGCCCATCTTCTTAAAAGACAAACGCGCCGTGAGAAGGAATCTTGCTGCATTCTTTTCGTAAGCACTTCATCTTGGTGCACTTCTTTTATACTACTCTGGGTTTTGTTTAGTCTCAAGCGGCTTCATGCATGTATTGCGGTTCATGATTGTTGTTGAACAGCATATTTTATCTATCATATCACCTCAAAACCGGCACTATCTTGCATTCCCCGTTACTGCACATTTATGGTGCAACGATATGCTGGGGATATGGCCATAGCCCATATGGGTACACTGATGTGGATATGGCATCATGGCGATATGGATACGCCGGTATGGCTACACATACATATACTTAATTATATATGTATATATGTATGTCAGTGGATTTTCTCCTTCCACCTCAGTTATTTGATTATTTCACTTTGAAGGTATTGAAGCACAACACAGGGTATCAAGAACTATGGCAAAATTATCGAGATTAATTAAATTGATTCAGTTTTAAACTGTATTTTCCCAATAGATACTTTCCTGCTGTCGTTTTGGATCCATCAAGCCATATCGAGACGTGTCGGAATCTATCGGATAGTATGGCGGCGATGGTGATACGGGTACGGCAACTTGAGTATCAGGGTATCGTACACGTTACCGGCCAAGGAGTGAGGGATACACGCACACATCTGAATTCTGAAGTGCTAACATTTGCAGCTTCAGTCAGTGCCTTTTTTTATTAGCTGTATATATTATTAATTCCTGATCTCAGTTATATTAGCATTAGCAGGTTCATTGGATTCTCCTCTGTTCCAAACTCAAGTTTGTTGGTGCCTGGACACCGTCATGAACCCTGTACAGTGAACCAACAAGAGACATGCATTGTACTGTATATTGCACAATGCATGATTCATTGTACAGTTCCGAATTGCGATCCCGACATATACGAGGGATCTTGTATAAGATGTAAATTCTAGCTACAGTCTTCAGTTTTGGTGATCCGTAGCTGGAATTAACTATAAAATCATTGTTAAAATGTAAATACTTGTTAACCTGACTTGAAATGAACTAGCTGGCATTAATTTGTCCTGGGAGGAGAGAGAAAATAGAAACCTACATTTAGCCAAAATAGAAGTTGCTAGGAAGCTTAGTGATATACCAGTGGCTATCTTGGCAATTGCCATCATGGATGATTTGCAGTGCAAGTACCTGTGTGCCACACTGGTGTGCATGTGACCATGCGTATGCCCATGCATGCATAAATAAACCTTTCTGCGTCATTATTCGTCATTGCAAGGAAATAAATCGATTGGAGAAGACGACGATCCGCGTGATTAGTTGAGCGCAGGTGGTCATCAGGCAGCTGTCACGTGGGACCAGGACTGTTCTGTGTTGAACGCTGATTGCGTGCATCAGCAATTAGCGTGGTGCCATCCATGATTACCAATAAGGAAAGATCCATGCCATTTCCAACTTTCTTCCCCTGCCCGGCCCCTTTTGCTTTTCATCGTCAGCTAGCTAGCTTGATCCAGAAAATAATAGAATATGATCCTATTTTTAAGACCACGCAAACTTCAGGTTCTTGTTGGCCTTTTAGATTCGGTTTGGATCCATTGAGCTGCTACTCGTTACGTTCTAAATTATAAGACGTTTTAGTTTTTCTGGGTATGTAGTTTTTGCTATGCATTTAGAGTGGATTGGGTAATATATCTAAAATATCGACACTTCTTATAATTGGGAGTGGATTGGGTAATAATGAGCTCATTTGGTTCCAAACGAGTCCAAATAATAATATAGCTAATTAATAGCTAATATCTAACTAATAACTATCTCACTAGTTGAACCAAATTAAACAAGCTAGCTAATAGCATTTAATAGTTAGCTAGCTAATACGAGCCATTAGCTAGATCTTGCATGAATAAGAAAATGCTCCTGTATGAGGTTACTACTTGCTGGCTTGAGTGGCACAGGCACAGCCAACAGTCCGAGTGATCTCATCCCATGCATGTGATCATGTGACCGGGTGCAGTGCTGTAGCACTGATGAATCTGCTTCGTGCCCGGCGCTGCCTCTTTGCATTGGATACCTTAAAGAAACTCGCTGGACCTGGACGGCTTGTGGGCAGCACGTTAATCGACAACGATTCGGCCGCTGCCTGCACACCGGCATGATTCAGAGTCTGTTTGATATAAAGCCTGATCGATAGCTAGCTAAAAATTAGTTAAAATTAGTCCTAATTTATTAAAACTGGGTCGTAGTCAAAATTAGTCCAGCCTATTCAAATAGGGTCTAGTAGTTGGTGTTAACCTTAGTTAATTTGAGCTAAATTTTAACTCTATATCTCTAACTGATCCAAGCATGCCTCCGTTCCACTTCCACCGCATCTTAGTCGTCCTCAGCCTTAATTATCAGCATCCTTTTCTGACCAAACAAAGTGACCCGCTGTGACTGCTAAATGGTGAGTGGTTTGGATGAGTTCTCGGTCATGCATGCAAACTGTAGGTTTTAGTTTATGTGCACTGATCTTCAGACCGTACGAGTTCAGATGCACGACAGTTTCGTCTTTGGGCGAAGGGCCTGAAAACCAGGAGACACGTTGCCGTTCCGTTTTCTCTCTGTTATTGAAGAATGATGAGCATGTACGTAGTAGATCGATCGACTAAAAGATGCTCCGAATTGATGAACTTTTGAACTGCAATAAAAGTCATGTTTCTGAAAGCAACAGTTGGCAAAATTAGCAGCTCGTCAAAGCTGTCAGGCGGAATCGATCGGTCCCGACGAGTGAGCTGCGCTGGTTTTTGTCATGCTCGGAACTCTGAAGTCGACAATACTCTAATTTTTTTTTATTGTTTTCCCTTTCCTTCAAAGACTGGAGTCAGAGGTACAGCTCATGGAGGAGACCCGTAAACAGACTCAAACAGACACAACAGATGTGGCGGCAGCCAAGCCAGCTAGATCCTGTGCTTGCGGAATCAGATCCTCTAAAGTTGGCCTCCTGGACTTGTCTCTGCAGTTGATCATCATAGCCGTCCATTTAAGATCCAACCATGAGACTCCAAAACTATTGAACGAACAAATTTAACTGGCCTGCAGCCGGCCCATGTTAGCCCAAGCAAGCGACTTCCCCTGCGCAACTCGTACGGGCGTTCGTTCGTCGTCTCCGCCGCCGTTGCTGGTCGCCAGATCGACGCGCCCGTCCTCGCCAGGCCATCAGCGCGACGCTCGGCAGTTCCCCACCTCGCCGGCGCTCCCCTCCACTCCCTGCAAGATCTGGTGGCATGGGGCTTCAGCTGCTTCTCCACATCGCCGGTGCGGGCGGCGCTCCCCTGCGCGCCACTGTGCATGAGCTTCATTGCCGCGGAAGCTGCCGTCCCGTGGCCGGTCGCGTTGGCGGCGCTCCTCACCACACCGGCGATTCCTCTCCGCCACCGCGACGACCGGCTTCGTGGTTGCAGGCGATGCCACTCCATGCCCAGGCACGCTCTTATAAGAAACCACTACCAACCCACTCATTGCATATACGTACCAATAATCAAACTGCAAGAAATAGAAAAAAGCCACCGACTCAGGTGCCTGCACTCCGGTCAGGGGGCTCGTTGCTGGAGTCGCTCGGCCTGTCAAGCCCCATCCACTGCAACTGCGACGGGTGATAGGCTAGGGCGGCCACGCTGCGCGATGGCGAGGACGACGGATTGAAATTGGAAGCCGGCGGTCGAGTGCGGGGGCAGTCGTGGCGCTGCCGATCGTCGATGAAGAAGATCTTGGCATCCCGGCACTAATGCGGTGCCGCGGAGCATGGAGGAGTAGACGGCGACGGACGTACCGAAGGTTGCGGTGGTGGCGTCGATGGAGACGTCGTGCCACTGCCAGCCGGTGGAGACTCTCACCAGGATGTACTCCACGCCCACCTGGCGGCGACGAAACAATCGGCATCGCGGAGTCGCGGGATCGCACGACGAAGGCAGAGCGACGTACTAAACTAATGTCGCACGATTAGACGATCTTAGTTTCTTTCTTTTTAGTGGTGGGAGATTGTAATATTCAGCAGTAATGTCATATACATTTGAAACTGGATGCAGCCTCTGAAGTTGCAATTATCAGCAATACCTTTTGTGCATTCCATTGACAATAGTATTACATAACAA